GAAGGTTGCAAAAGATCTCATGACCTTGGGACACAGCAACGGTCATAAATGTGAGCCAGTTGTCAAGCATCCAAATGCAAATCACGTGACTATGGGTGCGCCCATGTAACACCCCTCCTGCGTGAGCTGCACTGGCTCCCATTGGTCTTCCGAGTGCGATTCAAGGTGTTGGTCACCACCTTTAAAGCGCTCCATGACTTAGGACCGGGGTATATACGAGATCGCCTTCTGCCATCAACAACCTCCCACCGGCCAATACGCTCCCATAGAGAGGGGCTCCTCAGGGTGCCGTCGGCCAAACAATGCCGACTGGCGACACCCAGGGGGAGAGCCTTCTCTGTGGGGGCACCAGCCCTTTGGAATGAGCTGCCCCTAGAGCTTCATCTTAGCCCCGACCTGCGTACTTTTCGCTGTGCCCTAAAGACCTTCCTGTTTCAGCAAGCCAGACTGGCCTAATATGAATTTTAAGTGGGTGTATGTGTGTTTTAATTGAGGGCCAAATTGTATATATTGGTTTTAATTGGTTTTAAATTTTATAAATTCATGTGTTTTAATGTGGCTGTACACTGCCCTGAGTCCCCTGGGAGAAGGGCGGTATAGAAATCCAATAAACTTAAACTTAAACTTAAACCATGGGGGATGATGCAATGGTCATAAGTGTGAAAAATGGTCTTAAGTCACATTTTTCAGTGTCGTAACTTTGAATGGTCACTAAATGAACCGTTGTAAGTAGAGGACTACCCATAATTCCCGATGGAGTCTTCTCTTGCATTGTCTCCCCTGTCAACAGTTATATATTTAATAATGTTCTGATATATGAAATCACTCATTATGATTTCTGAGAAGTTGGTTTCAGAAATAATTTCACAGTGAAATGTCCTCAGTGCACAGCTACAGGAGTCTTGCCAAAAGTTAAACAGAAGCAAAGAACTTGGGCCAATAATCTTTTATATATTTACTCAGAAAATATGAGATCATACTCAAACATTTTTTTTAATCAACTCCACGCTTCCTTTTTATAAATAAGGGTGGGATTCAAACTGCCATTAGTTGAAAGCCGAGTAGAAGACTTAAGTATTCCAATATTTGAGGGGCTGCGACAAAGACAAGGAGGACAACTTATTTCCCAAAGCACCACAAAGCAACACAAGAAACAGTGGGTGGAAACTAACCAAGGAGAGAAGCAACCTTCACAAGATATGGGTGCTCCATCACTGGAGGCTTTTAAGAAGAAACTGGATAGCAACTTATCTCGAATGATATAGAGCAGTGGTGGCTAATCTTTTCCGGACAGACTGCCCAAAGCACGCCCCATGCCCCACGCCCCCACGCATGCGTGGCAGAGACCCAATGACCAGCTTCCCAGCGGGAGGCGTGCACGCATGCGCGGCAAACCTGAACTGGGGCGACGGCTCACATGCCCACAGAGATGACGCTGCGTGCCACCTGTGGCACGCGTGCCATAGGTTCGCCATCATGGATGTAGAGTCTCCTGCTTGAGTAGAGGGTTGGATTAGAAGACCTCCAAGGTTCCTTCCAACTCTTATTATTCTATGTTCTGTGTTCTAAGTTCCTCTTTCCAGTTGCTACTGCCCAATTGGCTTGAGACAACTACAACTTCAGACATCAAGAAGTAGCAAGATGCAAGTGGAAGAATTATTAATTTTTTTTAAACAAAGATAAAAACTAATACAAACTAATATAAAGTAAGAAAAAGAAAAGGAAAAGAATCAAAGGGAAAGCTAAAAGTGCAAGAAAGAAACAAAGTAAAAAAAATTGAAAAAGAAAGAAACATAAAGTAGCAGCTTCCAATCTTCTCTCTAGCAGTTATAAGTGCAATTATAAATTTACCTCTTGCACTGTTTACATCGTAACTATCTTCTATAAGTTCTATAATTTTTTCCAACTGTTTGTCAAGGAGAAGCTTGAGATACATTGTTTGATCAAGGTTTTACCAAATGAGTATGGAGTTATGGAAACTCCTTTTTAAAAATATGTAAAACCCAGCAGGTAAACAGGAACACATATTAAGATCCTAATGGCAATTTCTCAATTATTTTTCTGTTATATAGAAAAGAATATGATCTCTAAACCATGATTTACAATTTAGTTATATAAAAACTCGGTTATTTTTTATTTTTCTCTATATTAAAGCAGCCATGCTTTAACCATGCAGTCAAGCATTCTGCACAGATCCATATTCCTGACAACAAGAATCTAACTTGAGCAAGGATTGGTGAAACAGATAGTATATCTAAAGCAGAAGGAAAATGTATGCACTAGAGGTATAGCAATAGCGATAGCACTTAGATTTATATACTGCTTCATAGTGCTTTTACAGCCCTCTCTAAGCAGTTTTATAGAGTCAGCCTATTGCCCCCAACAATCTGGGTCATCATTTTACCCACCTCTGAAGGATGGAAGGGTGAGTCAACCTTGAGCCGGTGAGATTTGAACTGCCGAACTGCAGCCAACAGTCAACTGAAATAGTCTGCAGCACTGCACTCTAACTACTGCGCTACGTCGGCTCCTATATATACAGAGAAAGGCAAAACCTAGCACCAACTAAGACCTGAAAAATTGGCTCTGCCAACTGGTTTGAGGCCCCGATGGGGCAGGGTCTATGACAATTAGCCACGACCAAATTGCCATGACCAATTTGCCACAGCCAATTCACCATGGCTAATTCAAAGGTTTGGGAGTGACATTATAGCTGTCTTCCAATATTTGAGAGGCTGTCACTGTCAGATATTGCCTGCATATGATGCACCAGAGACTAGAAGGGGTTAAATCTTTACAGACATCACATGTGACTATATCAGCCAATGAACTTTCTTATTGGACTCTTACCTAGAAACCACTTGGATATCTTCCCCTTTCTTTTCTCTCTCTCATCTATCTCTTAGCGAGACAACACGTGAACTTCTCTCTCCTCTCAACATCTGAGTCATACAGTTAGGGTAAAAATATAACAGGACACCCTGTTCATTATCGTATGCATGTATATATTTGTAAATAATAAAAACAACCTTTTGAACCTAAAGCTGTATTGACCAAATAACTTCCTCATAGAATCAAATGAACACAACCATCAATATATATCTGATAGTCACAGTGAAGAGGAGATCGGTCTATTCTCCAAAGCACCTGAGGGCAGGATAAAAAGAAATGGGTGGAAGATCATTAAAGAGAGATCCAACCTAGAACGAAGGAGAAATTTCTGAGAGTGAAAACAATTAATCAGTGGAAGGACTTGCTTTCAGAAGTTATGTGTGCTCTATCACTGGAGGTTTTTAAGAAGGGATTGGACCAGCAGTGAAATGCACTTACCTTCACAACCGGATCGGAAATGTAAGTATGCACGCCTCTTCTGCATATGCGCAGAGTCTTCTGTGTGCGCACAGAGGGTAAAAAACAGGACATAATGAAGTCCCGGCAGGTGGGCAGAAATTCCCACCACCAGCCCTACCACCTTGCACGAGCCAGATAGATCCGCCTGGATTTCACCGCTTGATTGGACAACCATTTGTCTACAATAGTATAAAGTCTCCTGCTTGAGCAGGGGATTAACAGATTAACAGAGTTGGAAGGGACCTTGTAGGTCTTCTAGTCCAACCCCCCGCCCAAGCAGGAGACCCTACACCATTTCTGACAGATGACAGTCCAGTCTCTTCTTGAAAGCTCCCAGTGATGAAACTCCCACAACTTCTGAAGGCAACCTCTGTTCCATGGGTTGATTGCTCTCACTGTCAGAAAATTTCTCCTTATTTCTAAATTGAATCTTTCCTTGATCAGTTTCCATCCATTATTCCTCGTATGGCTTTCGGGTGCTTTGGAAAATAGCTTGACCCACTCCTCTATGTGGCAGCCCCTCAAGTATCTTGCTGTCTTGACTCCCTTGGTCTTTCTCTTCACTAGACTAGCCATGCCCAGTTCCTGCAACTGTTCTTCATATGTTTTAGTCTCCAGTCCGCTAATCATCCTGGTTGCTCTTCACTGCGCTCTTTCTAGAGTCTCAACATCTTTTTTATAGTGTGGTGACAAAAACTGGATGCAGTACTCTAGGTGTGGTCTTACTAAGGCTTTATAGGGTGGTATTAGTACCTCGCTTGATCTTGATTGTATCCCTCTGTTAATGCAATTTAGGATTGCGTTGGCTTTTTTGGGCTGCCGCAGAACACTGTTGACTCATATTTAATTGGTTGGATTGGACTAGAATCTCCAAACCTATTATTCTATATTCTGTGCTTTTAGTCCAATTGATCTCATAGCATTTATTGAAATTTATCTCTTTGCAACAGCAATAGCTTTGCCATTTTTCTCCCCATTTTTTCAAACAGTTAGACATTTTAGCTGTTACAGCCTAAAGGTTAGCATATTATAGTACAATTTTGTATGGATGACCGTGAATATAATAAGATATATGAATACACACACACATACACACAATATGGGTAGATAAAATTCAAAAAAGAGATATGAACGTCCTATATAGATATTTGCGGCTTACCAATGAGGCTATTAACACATGTACATTTATTTTTAAAACTTTGCTGGTTTTAATTTGCAAGAAATGGATTTTTATGATTACATCAGTATTCTTGTGTTAAGAATTAATAAACCGAGATCATGAAAATATCTGAGAACCAAAATATCCCGCAACGTCCCTATTTTTATAATAATGCTATTTTTGATGTCGGATTTTTGCCTATTTGTCTTTTGCAGATAAGGGGTGGAAAAAAATGGTTTAATAATTGTGCATTAGGGCCCTGCTGATGCCTAATAGAAAATGGGAGAGGAACAAAGACGGGTGTGCGTGAGTCCATATGAATGACATAGATGGCATTCTCAGCTTCCCTATACTGTTGCCAGAGCAGCTGTCATCTGGGAAAGTAAGTAAAGCTAGGATTATTAGTAAATTTAATTTTTCATATAAAATTCATTGCTGTCTCAGTTTTCTTCATTTCAGGAGATTAGTTTTGTTGAAATTTATTGTTGCTACTGGAAACAACCGAGAGTCGGAAATACTCAGGAGTTCGACTAGTTCATCTTGATCTATTTTGATCATTCCTGACTTAATGCATCTCCTTCAGCAAGGTAAATTTATTAAGTCTTTGGTTTCCTTCCATCTTGTTATCTGTTTAGTATTTTTAAAAAATCCCTCGACTTTACACCTTAATAGGCAAAGTCAATGGGAGCCCCTGCCGTTTGGAATGAACTGCCCCCAGAAATGCGTAAGATCTCTGATCTCCGTGTATTTCACTGTGCCCTCAAAACTTTGTTGTTCCGCCAGGCCGGGCTATTAAATAAAATCCGATATATAATACATACAGATCCACATTAAACTACCTGTAATGGATTTGGGCAATGAAAGTTGCTTGATTAGAATAACTCACCTGAAGATCTGGCATTATACTTTATTTTATTTATTTATATTTTATTTTGTCAAGTATATATAAGATAACAGGTAAAAGCATAAACATCATTTGAATACATGAAAAGAGTAAGAGTAAAAAGGAACATTATACTATGATAATTTGCCATGGCGAACTCACCATGGCTAACTCACCACCAACTCGCCACAGGATAACTCACTGCGGGAGAAGAGTTACACTAATATCAAAGAAATGGTGGAATAGAATCATTCTAGAAAGGATGCAAAAAGAAGAACAGAATAAAATGTGAATGGCAAAAATTAAAATATTTTTTATTTATTTTAAATAAAGAAATAGAATTGTCACATTATCCCGCAGAGAGTTGTCCCTGTCAGCACTTCAAACTGCAATTACTCTAGTGCTGACATAAGAAGGTGAAGCGGAGGCGTCTGGAAAGGGACGTTTGACTTTTCACCTACTTATTTTCCCTGGAGATAATATCCCCTAGGAGATGGGATGGGAGGGGGGAAATTCCTTTGAGCTGGAGCAGTAGATTAGGGGCAGAGTGATTTGGAAGATGGCCATTGAGTGCAGGGGAGTGGGGAACGGAACGGGAGGGTTTTGGGTCTGGAAGTCAGTGTTGGCTACGATGGAGCCGGACTTTGAATGTCGTGCTTAATAAATGGGAGTTTTCTTCAAAGACTTTGTTTGAAATGCAATTTATTTGAGACGACCTCGAAACCTGACAGACCCGCAGCGAGTTGGCTGTGGTGAGTTGGCTGTGACAAGTTGGCCATGGCAAGTTGGCCATGGTGAGTTATCCACAAGTTGACAAGTTGTCCCATTCCCGTATTAAGATCTTACAAGAGACTATAAATGGTTAGTCACACCAAATTTCCTCACCATAGCAAAGCACATGTACTACAGGTAGTCTTCAACTTATGACCACAATTGAGCACAAAATTTATGTTGCTAAGTGAGAAACTTGTTAAGTGAGTTTTGCCCCATTTTATGACTTTTCTTGCCACCGTTGTTAAATGAATTGCTGCAGTTATTAATTTAGTAACAGGGTTGTTAACATGAATCTGGTTTCCCCATTGATTTTGCTGATCAGAAGGTTGCAGAAGGTGATCGTGTGATCCCGGGACACTGAAACTGTCATAAATAGGAGTCGGTTGTCAAGCATCCGAAGCATCCTTGTGACCAAGGGTTTGCTTGAAATGGTCGTAAGTGTGAAAAATGGTCATAATGGCACCACATCTTCTTGTGGCCCTCCAGCAGCCTGCACAGTTTGTTGCTGATCCCGACGACGACGAGGCTGGTGTGGTGCTGCACCAGCAGCCTGTGCAGCCGGCACTTGAGTCGAGGAGGCTGAAGAAGATGTGGTGCCAGAGGCGGGGATTCAGTCAGGGCCTTCAGAGCCTGCAGAGGCTCCTTTAAGTGAAGAGGATGAAGAGGAGGAGCCTCTTCTCAATGCATGGGCACGCAGAGTTGCCAAAAGGCAGGAGTGGTTCCTCAGGAGGAGGTCTCCTCGAGAGTAAAGTTTGGGGCTAATTGGCCACTCCCTTAGCCTATTTAAGAAAGTACGCAGCTTGTAACAAGCTGCAGGAAACAACTTTAGCTCGCTAATCATCACGTTGGGATGTCTCTGCAACCTTGCTTCTGGGCTTTCTGCCAACTCCAGTAAGACTCTGACTATCTTATCTGTGGAATTTCTGGCAGGCTGTTAAGAACGCTTATTAACAGCCGACATTTGCTAAAACTGCGTTATTTGAGTAAACTAAGTTTTGTTCAGAGTTTGTGTGTGCTGTGTTCTTTGGGATCCGTAGCTGGGGCAGAACAATAAGTCACTTTTTTCAGTGCTGTTGTAACTTCGAATGTAAGCGAACCGTTGTAGGTCAAGTTGGTTTGCTAATAACTTTTATTCGATGAGATTAGGTCACACCTTTCCTAGTTAAAATGTCTCCACTTTCAATGCTTTTACTTAACATTTATACCCAGGCAGTCCTCAATTTACAACAGTTCATTTAGTAACCATTCAAAGCTGCAACAGCATTGAAAAAAGTGACTTATGACTGTTTTTCACATTTACAACCATTGCAGCATCCCCCCAGGGTCACCTTATCAAAACTCGGATGCTTGACAACTGACTCCTGTTTATGATAGTTGCAGTATCCTGTGGTCCTGTGATAGTTGCAGAATCCTGTGGGTTCCTCCCGGTTCGGCCCGGTTCTCCCGAGCCGGTAGCGGTTACGATATGATGTCACCGAACCGGTTCTGCCCCCCCGTGCCCCCGCACCCCCCCGCATTATTCTTATCTTTTACTTGGCCCCACCCCCAATCTATTGCTGCCTCCTGAGTCCCAGCTGATGGCTAGAGGGGAAAAAACTGTTTAAACTCTTGCCGGGGGGCTTCAAAGAGCCGCCCTACAGCTGATCAGTGTTAAAAGAAAACAAATGAGTAGACCAGTGCCTGCAAAAATACATGAGTAGATCAGTGCCTGCAAAAATAAATGAGTAGACCAGTGCCTGCAAAAATACATGAGTAGATCAGTGCCTGCAAAAATACATGAGTAGATCAGTGCCTGCAAAAATAAATGGGTAGACCAGCGCCTGCAAAAATACATGAGTAGATCAGTGCCTGCAAAAATACATGAGTAGATCAGTGCCTGCAAAAATAAATGGGTAAACCAGTGCCTGCAAAAATACATGAGTAGATCAGTGCCTGCAAAAATAAATGGGTAGACCAGTGCCTGCAAAAATACATGAGTAGATCAGTACCTACAAAAATAAATGAGTAGACCAGTGCCTGCAAAAATACATGAGTAGATCAGTGCCTGCAAAAAATAAATGGGTAAATTGGTACAGCTCTGCAAGCAGTTAAAAGCCTGGTAGACCAGTACCTCTGCTAAATCCTAAATAATTGTCACATGACCATCAAGCCACACCCACAAAATAAGCCACGCCCACAGAACCGGTAGTAAAAATATTTAGAACCCACCCCTGCTGTGGTCCCCTTTGGCGAAATTCTTACAAGCAAAGTCAATGGGGAAGCCAGATTTACTCAACAAACATGCTACTAACATAACAGTTGCAGTGATTCACTTAATAAGAAGTGGAAAGAAAGGTTGTAAAATGGGGCAAAAATCACTTAGATGTTTTCCTTAGCAACAAAAATGTTGGGCTCAATAGTGGTCATAAATCAAGGACCACCTATGATGCACAGAAACGCAGATATTTGATTCCTGCACCGCTGCCTTTTGTTAGCCTAACTTTCTCCAGCCAGTCGACCATCTCCTGCCCAGAGATAAATCTCAACAACATAGACTTACCAAAGTGGACTATGTCTTAACAGCTACATATAGTGAAATCTCTGTTCAAGATTGGTGGTTCCCTTCATTCTCATAGGGGCAGCGATGAGCAAGCAGCATATAGAATTATGGGAGAATTAGGAGTTTTCATCACAGCCAGATGCCATGTTTCTCTTTAGGTGCTATTCCCAGTTTTGCTTATTGGAAGAACAGCCTCTCTGCCAACTTGCTATCGTGCAGGGCAGTTTGTGGATAACGTGTGATCAACGGATGGTGTGTTAGGGTTTGAAATCACTTTTAAAAGTGTCACAAGGATTTTTGTTGATGATGAAGGATGGCTGATGGTTCTCCTTTTAAAACTGAAGAAGAGATTTGACAGAGCGAGAAAAGGAAGGCAGGAAACTTGGCTTAGGTATTAAGGTAATAATTCTGATATATTCGCCTGAGAATTTCTGGTGGCTGCTGTGAACATTTATTCCAATTCCTTGGCAAGCAATGCTTGTCTCAGCAGCAAGTGCTCAAAATCACAATAGTGAGATAAAAGAAGGAATATTCAGGTTGCATAATTGTGACAATAACATGTTCTTGGGAGATTTGGCACTCTTCTTGGAAATCCAAGGATTCCCAGGTGGTGCCTTAAAAAGGTCTGTAATCAGATCTCCAACTTTAACAAGAATAATATACAGCTGCAATTTCGAGATTGCTTCGAGAAATGGTTGTTGCTATGCACTAGATGAAGATACAATATCTTGGGGAGAAGTGAGGGAGTAGAAGGAAGGAAATAAACAAAGCTAAATTTAGCATCAGAGGCAAAACCTTTTGCAGAATCAGTGTGAATATAAATTATCCCACTATCTATTGTTTATTCCACTTATTGTTTCAGGGAAGCTGTCCAGATGATAAACTAATACATTAATGTTTATTAAAATAATCATGTTTTGTGTAATCATTTTAGAATGTCTTATGTTCTGAGCAAAGTCACGTTCTCCCTTTTGCATTTTCTATCAGCTTTCCCTAAGAATTAAATTCTTAGGATTTTAAGAAGGACCAATATTAATTTTGCTCCCTGTCCCGTTAAAGGCATTGGATTGCTCCTTAAATTAATAGCCATTTCTGCAAATTGCATAATTTTAAGAGTCTTGTTGACTTTCTGCTGAGTTTTCGTAGTCATAAAGTAACATCACAAAGCTATGATGCAATCTCTGGTAACTAACAAAGGTTCTTCATAGTTTTTTTTAATGTACTGTAATCAGGTTTCTCAACTAATTTCTCTGTATTGTTAGACTATATTTTCAGCGGATTGGGCCAAGAAGACACTGTTCTCTTTTTAGGATGTCTGTATACAAATGATGCTTTGAGAACAATTTATAGCAAATAGAAGTCAGATTCTATGATGCAACAAGAAGACAGATCTGAAAATTAATCTATCAAAGACTAAAACAGTTGTATTTGACAAATAAAATAGAGTGAACAATTACAAAGTGTGCAAACAGTGAAAAAGTATAGTAAGTAGATGGATTTATTTATCTTGATAGGATGTTTACTAAATAGAAAAAATAAACCAAGAAATTTTAGGATGAACAAATGCTGGTAGAAAGAAAATAGGTAGCAAGTATTATGTTGAGAAAGGAAGCAAAACTGTCTGTGTATAAGTATGCCTTTCTAACTTCCTTTTTGCATGGAAGTGAGACCTGGATAAATCAGAAGAATATAAAAATTAATTCAATAGATTCTTTCTGTTTGAAAAGACGAGGTAAAAAATGAACTGCTAAATGAATGAGGAATGGATGCAAAAATGATTATTTTGCAAACAATTATAATGCAAATTACAATACAAAAAAATATTATGATTGTTTGCCACCCAAAATTACTTGTTTGAGATGGGCAGCCACAGAAACTGAATAAATAAAAAGTCAGCAGCCAATAAAAATACATTAGAGTGGTTTAGCCACAGAAAGAAAATGCATAAAGAGCAGATCATAAAACAAGGAAGATTTTCAAATGTAGAAAAGCAGAGTGAGGAGTCATACATAGAGCTAAAACAGATTTAGTTAGATTTTCCCTTATCTAATGATTTCCAATGTCTTTTGCTTGCCATTTAATGTTCTTTCTCTGGGCTTTGTATCACATTGCTTACATAGAAAAGGAACAGCATCATTGATGGGCATATATGTAAACTAGTGTTGGAAGAAATCTCCTTCTGGGTTCAGTTCCAAGTGGGGAAAAAGACACTGGAAACATGGAGACTGATTGGAAAGATGGTTTTCAATGGTGGACAGGATCACATGCCTTGATGATGTTGGGTGAAGGAGAAAAAAATGCCAGAGATGCTGAGAGTGCCCTCTCTGGGCTTTTGAATTTGAGCTTGTATTCTGATTGGTTGTCAGACTCCCAGGGGGCGGGGGTCTTAGCTAACTTTGTAGGCTGTCTGTGTCCCAGGCTTGGTTGAGCCTTGCTGGGTGATGTAATCTTCCCAGGTGCCATGTGGTGAGATGGGTAGAGGGTTAATCCTATCCTGTCCTGAGGGCCATGTCTTAATCCCATCACCCCAGAGCCGAAGGTCTTTTGTGTTGTAGATAAGATGACTTTTGTCTTTCTGGGGCTATTAACAAAAATGGGGGCCGCTTTCCAAGAGTGTGTTTCTCCTTTTCTGAACGAGGAAGGTATACTATTCTGCCTTTTTAATATTTCCTAGAAATATTTCATTTTTCTAGGAGAGGGGTGGGTGCTGCTAACTTCCTACACTAGTTAAAGATACTTTTGGACTCAAAGTGATCTTTGAAAACTGAAACATAGCATTCAACAGGAAGTAGCTCAGGCCTATTATTTATTTCCCCCCATCACAATAGGCAGGAATTATCCAGGCCTTTAATGTAACCCCACCCACATTCCAGCCAGTAAACTCAAAAGATTTCTCCTGCCAGAACTTACATTATTATAAATAGAAACGTACACTCCTTGAAACGGATCTCAACATGAACAAAGCAAACAAACAAAACGAAACAGAAAAGCAAGGGATTGTCCAACTGTAGGTTGTTGGGTTTTTTTGTTCTTTCCTGCATGCGCACAAACAATGCTCAGATGTTGAAGGGGGTAGATATGGGGAAGTCCTCATTCACCGAGTCAAAATTAAGCAATGCTTAAAATAAAGATCTGACTACCATGTATTTTTCTTTCATAGCCTCTGCTTGATTGCACCCTTCATCACTTAAAGTAAAAGATTCCCCTTCTCAAATTCTGCAGATGAAGATTAATACAGTAAGGTAACCATGGCAACAGGAAACTTATTCTCTGTCAACAAAATACAGGGCTAATCTAAATGTCAATCATAGAAAGCCCTGAGGATTTTATTATTATTATTATTATTATTATTATTATTATTTGAGTCCTTGGTTGTTTCTCGCAGACATTTCATTACCCTGCTAGGTAATATCTTCAGTGCCAGAAGGAGTGGGTTTTGCTCTCAGTAGTGTAATTTGCCAATTGAAGATCTTCAATTGGCATACAAATCTTGAAGACCTAGTTCAGCTTTCTTCAGTCTCCATGTCTGCAACATGTATTGCTTATCTTGACCAGAAGACAGGAGTTGTAATTCAAATTAACTTGTCACTTCCATAGTGTCATGCCCCCAGATATAATTTTTGTATATACTGTTGTTCTCTGACCCCATTTAGTGGCCAGGGCCAAATACTAATCTGTATTGTTTGGAAGGGGACTCGGCCCTTTAAGGGTTATCTACCCATAAACCCTCATTCCTAAACCAAGCGCATCCTAGAAAGCCAATGAATGAATGAAGTTGTTCCTATGCAAATTACTCAATTATGAATTATCCTCCTTTTGTAACTGGAGTCCATGCAGTTTGTTAGCACATAAATCATTTAACTTGGGGCAAATATAGGATTTTGAGTGGGCCGCAATCAGATTTCAATGACGTGCCCAGTGTCAAGCACAAAGAAAATCTGTGTTGTATCTTACCATCAAGAAAAAAATAATTTTAAACCCAAATAACAAAATTCGTGGTTTTCAAGATGATCTTGTTTCCTTTGCTCTCCCAGATCTGGCTGGATTATGGGGTTCTCAGAGGAGAAGCACGCTGGTTCTGACATACTATGGAGAATACTGCCATCTCCGGTGTAAGCCTGTATGCCTTCTAAAGATAAAGGTAAAGGTTTCCCTCGCGCATATGTGCTAGTCGTACCTGACTCTAGGGGGTGGTGCTCATCTCCGTTTCAAAGCCAAAGAGCCACCGCTGTCCGAAGACGTCTCCGTGGTCATGTGGCCGGCATGACTAATCGCCAAAGGCGCACAGAACACTGTTACCTTCCCACCAAAGGTGGTCCCTATTTTTCTACTTGCATTTTTTACCTGCTTTCAAACTGCTAGGTTGGCAGAAGCTGGGACAAGTAACGGGAGCTCACCCCGTTACACAGCACTAGGGATTCGAACCTCTGAACTGCCAACCTTTCGATCGACAAGCTCAGCGCCTTAGACACTGAGCCACCGCGTCCCTTGTATGCCTTCTACAGAGGCATTAATTTTGTATGAGGACTAGAGAAACACTCTAAAATCTTTGTAGAGAAGATGGTTTGGGGAAGAGAGTTAAAGTTGGCAAGGGAGTTGGCATCCCAGGTTCTCTAGGAGGCAATTGCAAGCATACAAGTAGCAACAAAAAACACAAGAAACGCAAAGTTGGCACAGTGGCAAAATATTTTTGTGTGAAGGTTATCACTAAAATGGTGAGACAGAATATAGAACATCGAATAATTGGGTTGGTAGGGGTCTTTGAGGGTTGGCCTTCTAGTCCAACCCCCTACTGAAGCAGGTGATCCTATACCAGGGGTGTCAAACTTGATTTCATTGAGGGACGCATCAGGGTTGTGTTTGACCTCAGGAGGGGGATGGCCAGTGGGCATGGCCAGCTCGACGTCACTATTGTTGGGGGCGCCTGTAGTAGTCTGGGTGCTCTGCCAGAGAAAACAGGCTCCTGAGCTCCGTTTTCGACTGTGATGGCCTCCTGCAACCCTCTGCCAGGGAAAACAGAGCTTGGGAGGGGTGCACGCGGCCCTCCCGAGCTCCTTTTTCACTAGTGGAGGCACTGCAGGCTAGTCCTTCGCTGTTTCCAGGGTGGCCCTGCAGGCCAGATCTAAGCACCCCATGGGCCAGATCCGGACTGCAGGCCTTGAGTTTGACATGCCTGCCCTATACTATTCTGGATAAATGGCAGTCCAGTTTCTTCTTGAAAACCTCCAATGCAAGATGCAAGAGATGAATAGTGCAAGGATCAGAGTTTTGCTTAGGGGAATTTTGGGGAAGGTGTTAAAGAGTGAGGGGATTAACTGGTGTGTCATTAAAACAAAGAAAACCTCTTGACCTGATCATTTTTATTGATTTTTCTGCTCACAGGCTACTAAATGATAACTTAATCACTGAATTTATTTTAATAAATTCATATAAATTTATTTATTTATATAAATAAATAATAATAATATTTATATAAATAATAATAATAAATAATAATAATTATATAAATAATAATAATTAATAAATTCATATACATTTATTTATTTATTTATTTATTGAATTTCTATACCGCCCTTCTCCCAAAGGACTCAGGGCGGTGAACAGATTAAGATTTCATATACATATAATAATATTTTTTTTTATAAACAGTAAATAATAAATTGAATCAACTTGGTGTATCTGCTAATATCTTGGCATAGAATTTAGATGTTTATGCTAGCCCTGCTTGTTGAAACAGAAAGGTCTTCAGGACACGTCGGAAAGTGCAAAGATCTGGGATTATTCGTATTCCAGGGGGTATTTTGTTCCAAAGAGTAGGTGCCCCCACAGAGAAGGCTCTCTCCCTTGCAACTACTAGACGACATTGTTTTAATGATGGTACTATGAGTAGGCCTACTCTGTGAGAGCGTATTGGTTGGTGGGAGGTTATCGGTTGCAGCAGGTGGTCTCGTAAGTACTCAGGTCCTAAGCCATGGAGCACTTTAAAGGTAAGAACCAACACCTTGAAGCGCACTCGGAAGGCCACCGGAAGCCAGTGCAGCTCGCGTAGAAGAGGTGTTACATGTGAGCGCCATGTTGCTCCCATAATTACTCGCGCGGCCGCATTCTGGACCAGTTGGAGCTTCCGGGTGCACTTCAAGGGGAGCCCCATGTAGAGAGCATTGCAGTAGTCAAGTCGGGAAATTTGACAAGCATATCTGAGCAATGGGACTAGAACAGCTCTCTGTGTGCTTTCTCTTACCTCTGAAGTCTCCAAAATTAGTTCCAAACAAATGCAGGTAGTCCTCGACTCACGACCAGAACTGAGCCCAGAATTGATGTTGCTAAGTGAGACATTCGTTAAGAGAGTTTTGCTCCTATTTTATGACTTTTCTTGCCACATTTGTTAAGTGAATCACTGCAGTTGTTAAATTCCTAACACGGTTGTTAAATGAATCTGGCTTCCCCATTTACTTTGCTTGTCAGGAAGGTCCCAGGACACCTCAAGCGTCATAACTATGAAGCAATTGTCAAGCATCTGAATGTAGATCATATGACCAAGGGGAAGCTGCAATGGTTATAAGTGTGAAAAACGGTCATAAGTCACTTTTTTTCAGTGCCGTTGTAACTTTGGATGGTCACTAAACAAGCTGCTGTTAAGTCAAGGACTAGCTGTATTTGCATTAAATACAAAAGTCTTTTATGAGAATATGAAGGACCACCTTTTGAACATTCTAAATTATTTATTTAGCTGTACAATTTTAGTACATTTTTTGTAAAAAGATGCTTCCCAATGGGGTTTATCCATTTAAACTAATGATATCATTTTAGCTTTAAAAAAAAATCAAAGAAGTTATAAAAGAGTACTATAAAAACAATAAGGAGAGAGGCAGCTTCTTAATTTCAACTTTTAAGGTCTAAATGAATGGGGATATGGAGAGAGCAAAACCATAATCAGAATACATACTAAGAACATCCTTTGGCAAACAATACATAGCTAATAGCTAACGTAGATGTTAAGCACAACTATTGTGGTGGTCAAAGGCACTTTAAGATCTTTAGTGTGTCTGTCCTAAAAAATATCACAGGAGGCATTGCTTTATAACACAATGACCAAAAGGGGATTTGAATTTAGACTCTTCAATTTCATGCTGAAAACTTTTGTGACTGACTTTCTCTGCATTTGTAAAAAAAGCAATCATAAGAAGTTGAGCTGACTTGAATTAGAAATTTACTTCACAGAGAACTCTTTCTTAAAATAATTTTACAGGTCCAAAAATTGTTTCCATCAATCACTGATTCTGAGGGATGTACCGCTACCTTGCTGACATTCATTTCTTGAGAAAAAGTCTGGAGTTGGGCGGCATAGAAATGCGACAAAATAAATAAATAAATAAATAAAATAAAATGGTTAATGCTGTACTAGAGATGTATCTCTTCCTACCAGTGGTGGGATTCGGGTAATTTAACAACCAGTTCTCTGCCCTAAGGATTTCTTCCAACACTCAGAAAGTTAACAACTGGTTCTCCCGAAGTGGTGCGAACTGGCTGAATCCCACCACTTCTTCCGACACAATAATAATGTGAACATTTTCTATTCAACCGAGTCTCTTGAATGAATCCAATGAAATGAGTAGCCACCTGATTCCATCACACTGAAATTGATAGAGAGGGAGATCTAAATTAATCAAGGTCTAGTTTGAATTTCCATTCTGATTCGACAATTCAAGATGATTCGATTTTATATATTGACTTATTTTATAAATTGACTTAAACAGCTGAAATGAACTACAGTTTGAATCGTGGTACATATTCAGTTTGAAGAGAACATTTGATAAAAATATGTGTGCACATGCATATAAATCTGTCAGATTTTCAACATGGTCCTCCTCAAATCTCTATCTCTATAGACATCATTTCCTTCCTCTCTCAGAAAAGAGCAGGATATAGGGGATTGAGTTGTGCTAGTACAGTGTTTCTCAACCTTGGAAGCTTGAAGATGGGTGGACTTCAACTCCCAGAATCCCCCAGCCAGCGCTGCTGGCTGGGGGATTCTGGGAGTTGAAGTCCATCCATCTTCAAGCTTCCAAGGTTGAGAAACACTGTGCTAGTAGATACTGCACTTCGACATTTGCTAGCTGGAGAAAAAGGAAGCACCTGTGAAGAAGGTGGCATTTTTCAAAGCTCTGAAAGTTAGGCACGTTGTACATGGATCAGATTATGCTTGCTGGTCAGAAGATACTCCTCAGTATTCTAATAACTCTATCTCTAGATGGAGGAAACAAACATTTTGAGGTACATTTCCCTAAAATTTTGATATATTTAGATTTCAAAATGTCTCTGGTTCTTTCTCATCGTGGCTTGTGAAAAAAAGATGGCAGAAAGAAGATCTGGGATATCTTGCTGGGATATCAACTGTTGGAAGGAAAATCCATTTGGGTTCAGTTCCAAGTGGGAAGGAAGCAGTGGTGGGTTTCAAAATTTTTTACTACCGGTTCTGTGGGTGTGGCTTGGTGGGCGTGTCAGGGGAAGGATACTGTAAAATCTCTATTCCCTCCCCACTCCAGGGGAAGGTTACTGCAAAATCCCCATTTCCTCCTGATCAGCTGGGACTCAGGAGGTAGAGAATAGATGGGGACGGGGCCAGTCAGAGGTGGTATTTACTGGTTCTCCGAACTACTCAAAATTTCCGCTACCGGTTCTCCAGAATTGGTCAGAACCTGCTGAAACCCACCTCTGGGAGGAAGACACTGGAAACATGGAGGCTGATTGGAAAGATGGTTTAATGGTGAAGCAGAACCACAAACTACATGTGATTCTGGGCAGCTGACAAAATGGTTGAATGAGAGGATGGATCTTTATAGGTTTCTGTGACTTTGAAGTTTGGACTGTTCTGGGGGAAGTGCAATGAAGGGGTTGTGTTCTGAAAGGGTAATTGGGCAATTCCTCTTTAGCCGATGGCTTTCATCCTGTGTTGGATCTTGGGTGAGGGACTGCTTTCTAATCCTATCATTCTGCCACAGGAGTTTTGAAATAACTTGTCTTGAATGGATTACCAAATCTGCATTTCTAAAAGCTGGCCTCCTCAGTTTCTGCTTGAGGGCAGGGAGACCGGGGTTGGTTTCCGTCTCCCTTAAGAACATGTTTCTCCATTTCTCCCTTTGAGGAAATATAATGTCGTGCCTTTTTAATATTCCTCAAAATATTTCATTCTTCTAGGAGAGGAAGACCCAAATGCCTGTCAATTATTTTCGATCCTCTCATTTATTCTGCTCAGCATAGATTGCGCTATTGCTATCCCCATTTAAATCCTCTGGCAATTAGCTAAGATTGTGTGCACCTGATCCAAAGAGATTGCAGAATGCTGTGCATGACCAAACATTTTTGTCATGTTTATGTAGTGTGTATTGGATTTGGTTAGCCTTTGAGAGC